GGCTAGCCTGAACTACTAGCAAGATATTGTCTCACAAGACCCAAAACAAACAACAACAGAAACTTTACAAAGGATGTTGAGAAAACAACTGGGATATGCCCAGCCTGGTGTCACCCACTCAGGGCAGGAAGGTGAAGAGCCTGACTGCTATTACTAATGCACCTGCAACATTCCTCCATACTTATAAGATTTCTAGATTAGGGACAGGAGAAGCGCCATGCTGGGGGAGAACTCAGCCATTTGGCTGTTTAACATATGTGGTTGATCAGAGAGGTAACAAGCAAATTAGGTTCTTAGACACAAATCCCCATTGGAGGACTGCAGCTCTGGATGATCAGAAGCTTCCTACTGTAACAAGTCACTGCTGGGGCTGGTGAGAACACTGGAGTATAATGCAGAGGCAAGTTGTGAGGAAAGAGATTTTTAATGACAGCTAGGAGTTTGGTGGTGGTTATATCAGGACAAGGAATCTCTGTTTCACGCCACAAAAAGGATTGAGAAGGAAAGGGGAGAAGTTCTTGAGCTTTTTTTTTTTTTTTTTTTTGGTGGAACTAGGGATTGAACTCAAGCCCTTGTGCTTGCCAGGGAAGCGCTTATTCCACTGAGCCGTCTCCCTGGCCCCTTCCTTGAGCTTTTGAATACAAGATCCTTATTGCCTTATCAGCGTGGGAATCAAAGGCACAAAGAGGTAAACCACCTCCTGTGGACAGCTGCACAGGCTTTACCTTTAGGAAGACCTGAAATACATGTTTATAAGTTTATCTAGCTCTCCTGCCAGGTAGTCAGAGATTAGCGATGCTGAAACTGTTTTTTGCCTCCCAGGAATGGGAAACATGATACTGAATGCTTTTTCTTCAGTGCTGGAGATGGAACCTCGGGCTTCCAGTATGCTAAGCACACGACCTACACCCCCAAACCCGAGTGTTTTTTAAGTTCAGGTTTTCTGGAGGATGAGGGTTCAAGCTGCAAACCTTCCTCTAGTTCAAGCTGTCTTGAACTTGGCCCAGAAGAGCAGCCTGGGGGCTACATAGAGCACTTCTTTGTTCCTAAGAACATACCACGGGGGCAGGTTTCATAGACTGCATCCAGAACACCCTCATTTGTCTACAGAGAGGCCTACTAGATCATTTCACAATGGTGGCAAGGTGAAAAAGCCCAAGAAAAACAGTACTTTTATGTATGACAAAACCCAGGTAACAACTCTTCTACCTTTTTTTTTTTTTTAAAGGAAGAAGGCTTTGCTAGTAGGAAAGTAGGTTTGATTGTTTTGTTTTAGGGCAGGGTCTCACCAAGCAATTCAAAGTGGCCTTGAACTCATGGCAATCCACTTGCCTTATGCCTTAGTCTCCCACTGAGATTACAGGCATGTGTCACCATGCTTGACACTGCAGTATTTTATAATACTTAGACTAGCACAGAACAATGTCAAAAGGATGCTGAATTAAATGGGCACTTTAGGTAACTGTGATATACTTCTCACAGGTCTGGAAGAGCTGACCTAAAATTAGAATACTTTAATAACTACAGAGCTAAGTAATTATGTCTCCCCCACCCCACTCTAAAAAGACTACAGATCTAAAGCGAATGTCCTTAATTAAAACAAAAGTAACACAAATAAAAAGACAGGAAGAGACACAGCCCTAGTAACAGGAATGAAACAAAGACTCCTATGGGAGAATGCAAAACATATTGTCTCCCATATATAGAGATTCATACATGGGAACCTGAGACTATGCAGCTAGATGAAGTGCTACTGAGGGTCTTTTAAACACATTGTATTTTTACACCTGTCAATACAATTATGTCTGCCCTGTTGTGCATCTGAAGAATAACAACTAGACACTTTCAGAGCTTTCTAGATAGAGAGGACAGGTTTTATTTTTAAGACATTATATCTGACAACCCACAGGAAAGCACTTCACATCTGAGATAACTTGAAATGCTTAGTTGTACTTCTAGGGTACATTAAACTTGGTGAACATTCACCTAATGAAAATCTAGAGGAGAATCCTGCTCTGTTTTGTTTTAAAAATAAACTTGGTCACATCCACTCTCCCACTTGCGACAACAGGAAAGCCAAGCCCTCCCTTGCAATGGGGACATAGCAACATTCCTATACAGCATTTAGAGGGCAGCTGTATACCATCCTGGAAGCGATGTGCTGGGCAGGAATTAACAGCCCCCTTTCATGGGGACCCACAGATGCTGAGAGGGCCTGAAAGGGACCACAGGTAGGACCTTATATCAAGATCAGTCTTTTTTTTTTTTTTTTAATCTTTTTTTTTTTTTTTTTTTGTGGTACCAGGCATCCTAAGCTGTATCCTCAGC